ATGTGTGCATAGGTATAAGTTCTACAATCATATTTATCAAAGAAAGCATAGTGATCTAATGTATTTTTCACTGGAAGGTGCAAGGGTTTAATTTTGTGGATTCTGTTTACTAGAAAAATAGTCTAGGGTCATTGTATGTGATCCTTCTGTCTCCACCTTTTTAGAGGTAACAGAAATTAACTGGATTTTGTTTTGGAGACTGCATTCCTTTAAATAATCCTCTAATTTTTGAAATGTTCCACTACCAGGGCTCTTAAGAGGAGATACTTTTATTTCATCTTAAAAAAATAATTGATTTCAAATATATATTTATATTCATTTTTCCTAATGCTTAAAAAATTAACATCTACAAAGTTGTAGGATTGCTATTTTTAAAACTACTATCTGGGGGTATGTATAAAGAATGTTTTATCCTTTTATTTACAGAATGGATGAGTATTGAGTGGTATCAATTCACAGGGTATTGTTTTGCATTGTTAATTTTTCTTCTTTTCAAGACTTTTTTGAAAAGGTCACATGTTTGGATTTTTAAATACCAAATCATAGAAATAACTTTCACAATTCTGAGGTGCCATATGCATCTTTAAAAATATCTGACAGGTGGAAAAAATACATTCTTTTCTTTGGAAAACTATGTTTTAACCTCTAATCATTTTTTACTTCTCCATTCTCCCCCTTCTTCTCCTATTTCCTTACTAAAAAAGATATTTTGAATAAAAACAGAAAATTATTTTTGCTTTCACACCATTAAATATGGTTAAGTATTATTTTTCCTTTTGAGCCCATGGAATCTTTTTATGGGAGAGAGAGATACTGCTGTGAAGGACCGAGAGAAACTGAGGCCAAAGCTGCTTCTCCTACAAAGGACTTGGTTGAGAATTGGGTGGTAACAACCTCCATACAAAGAATGTCCCAGGCAGAGGCACCAACATCCCCTGAATTTTAATGAAAATGTCATGTTAATGATATAACAAGGTTGATAAGGAGGTCATCATAAAAGCCAACTAGGCCCTGGTTATATATTAAGACAAAGAAAAGAGGCAGTAAAGGAAACGTGTCTCATAAATATGTGTAAAAATATGTAGTCAGTAATACATAGTAAAATACTGATAGAGAGGGGTCTATATGTATATATTTGTAGAAGTAGTATCTCCTAAAATATCCGCTTATGGTTCCATTAGAGAATGGAGAATACACTGTTAGTTGGTTTCTGTGTGCTTTAGTAAGAAAACGTATAACTTTTTAATCAATTCAAATTTTTTCATAGGATACTGAAAGAGAAAGAGATTAGGTGGTATGAATGGAAATAGAACCAGTGGGTTTAAGACTATGGCTTTTGTGCTTGTCGATACATCTCTATAAAATCAGTATTACTTATAAAGAGAGATAGGCCCACGAGTATGCACACAACATGTAGCATATTTCATAAACAACACTCACATGTGTATGGTGCACTGTGCAACTGTAAATGATTAGACAACCTGCAAAACTGATAATCATTACTTTTTAAAATAACTAAATAATTTTGCTTTGTCTAACAAAAAACTTCAGAGTATAAATTGAAGAGAGTTTTACTATTGGAAAATTATACGTAAATTTCTTTTCTGTTACTAAAAATACATCTACAAAAAAAGTTGGTTAAGGCATGTGTGTACATACAAAGCTTTAAAATATAACTGCTTCTGATTTAGTAAATTACTCCTCAGCCATCACTACAGGTAACTGTCCCTTATTTTATTTAGGGTCTTTGATAAAATAATAGAGGTGAAATTGTATGTAGGAGTGGGAAGAAGAGTAATACATCAAACTTTTACTCCAAATGTCTCCATGTAATATATTTTTCTTCCTCCAAAACTCAGATAGGAATGGACAGAATTCAGCCTTACTGGGAAACACTAAGTGGACAAGAGTTTACCCAAGTTTATGGGCCTTGGAAGAGCCTTAAGAAGTAGAGCACTTCTCCTTGCATATAGTCATCTTTCCATTCCTCATCAGGGGAATGGGGCAGGAGAATGGGGGCTCACCTACCAGAAGATCATCGGCTGGGAATGGGGAAGAAGAGGAAGGGGGGTGGTTGCAGCTAGTTGAGATGAAAGCCTCAGCGAAGATCTGGGCCCAGTTTCAAGAGGAGCAGTTCCAGAGAAGGGTCTAACTGCTGGACTAGAGTGAGACACACTCCTTTTGGAGAACATTAATAAGACTTCACCTCCTGAAATGAACACCCTGCCCCAGCAGCCTTCCCCAATATTCCGGGTGTGTTTTGCATGATCGTGGGTGTGATAACAAGCCACGCTGTGTGAGTGTATGAAAGGCCAAAAGTCAGTGAGAGAAAATCAAAAATTAATACAATGACTAATGATTTCTAACCTGAAGCAAAGCACATGCAATGCTCACCCGGAACCTGCCTCTGTTTAAATGCTTCACTTCACACACCACACAATAAAGCCAGGAGAAGAAGACAGATTTTTTTTTTTGGAAAAATGTTTTATTTAAACCTTTTTAATCTTTTACAACAATAAAATATTGCGTCAATATAAACCCCTTGACTAAAACTGTTCACATCAAATATTACAGCGAATTGTTTTACTTTTGACACCCAACTCATATTTGAAAGTTTCCTTTTAAACACAATGCAGAATTTATTGAAAATAAATAATTGCTGGCAATTGCAATAGGCAATTTGAATAAAATAGTTGAAAAAGCAACTCTTAATGAAAATAGCGTTTATTATACATCGGTTACTACATGAATAAACTAAATGATCTTTCTTTAAATTAATAACTTCAAAAATGTTTTATACAAAACTGTACAATTATAAAGTCGGCAGAAATATTTGGGTTAACTCAGGTTTGAATCATAGCGCTTAACTGCAAAGAAAATATATTGAAACAAACAAAGAAAACCCTAACAGTTGTAAAACATGAACTCCTTGTGGGGGAAAAAAATCCCAGAACTGAAACACAACTACCAACAGAATGCAGAAGCTTGGCAAAATAAGAAAAAGGATCCGGGATTTTAATTAACACATGCTCTTCGACCGACAGCTGGGGGATACAGTGTGGTGGACCGGGGCCCTGGCAGCCCTTACTAGCGCATCCTCAAAAAGCGGCCATAGGCTTTCAGTTCCTTATAGGTAGTTTGAAGCTTTGTCTACCGCAGCTGCGTCTGGAGGTCGGGCCAGGCGGCGGGCCCGGGTTTACGGAGCCCCCAGCCAGGTCTGGCGAGCAGCGTCTGAGTGTTTGGGTGCATGTCCGGCCCAGCAATGTGTGCTCCTTGGGAATGAGGTGAGCCTCCGGACCTGGCAAGTGAACATGAGAGCTAGCAATAAAGCCACAGCAACTGCATAATTTTTGGATATCTACACAGACTAGCGAAATTTTTTGTAGTTTTTTTTTTTGTAAATAGTAATACGATACACACAGCTATCTACACACACACGTTTGCACGCGCACGCACACACGCACAGAGACACATACACACAGAGAGATATAAAAAGAAGAAGAAGAGGGAAAAAAACCCAGCCACCCAGGCACTCGCTAGCTAGCTCAATCTTCGCTGTGGGCTTCTACCAGCTGTGCTTGTTGGAGGCGCGGAGATGGCTCCCCATGAGCCCACTCAGAGACAGCCGTATATACGGGAGAGGAGGTGGTACGCGGCTAGACCAGAATCCCTGTGACCTTTGCCAATTATTTCATTGTCCTTCTGCACAGAGCAGAGAACGCCGGTCCACCACCCCCTCGCCATCCTTCCCAGAGGGTTTCTCACTCACGGAACAGGCAGTGAACTGGAGGTGAAACAAACTGGAAAGCGTTGACCCAGTCTGGCGCCAGCGTCTCCAGGTCGGGTCGTCGTCTCCAGCTAAAGCAATCCGGTGTGAAGGCAAAGTCTTTTGCCTAGAAAGGCCAAGGTGGGATCGAGCTGGCAGTCGGCCTGGCAAGGCGCGGGGCGGGTGGAGAGCTCCGAGTGCAGGCATTAAGGACTTCGGGAGGTGAGGAGCACTCTTCATTCCTCAGGACGACTTCTTTCGCCCAGCGCAGCTGCGGAATCCTTCCAGGGAACCCAGATGCGCTGTGGAAGCCTGTGGGGGCTCCACAGTTGCGGGAAGGAGGGCAGAAAGCTTCGAAATCGCCTCTCCTCCTTCGTACTAGTTTGCAAAGAGAATCGGCTGCCTACTCTGCCTACCCTAGGCACTCGGCTACCCCCCGGAAAAAAAAAAATGTATGTGTGTGTGTGTGTATATATATATGTATATACATATATATATATATATACACACACACACACACACACATATATATATATATATACACACACACACATATATATGTATGTATCTCCAATATCATCAACAAACTCTCCACTGTATCCTCTCTTCTCCATACAGATTTGGGATAGGGGATCGGTGGATGGGTAGGCATCTCTCCCCCTCTTCCTTTTCTAAGCAATTAAAAAACCATCAGCTCAATGAAGGGATAATAATAGCAATAATAATATGGAGTGGTCGATTAGATACAAATTGTCTCACAAATATTGTGTACAGCTTAGAGTAAAACACCGCAGACATTTAGAAACGCTATAGAAGTTTTAAAAAATGCAAAACTAGTCTATTGTAAAACAGATTTCACCTGAAATACAGCTGCTATAACCAAGGCGCTGAAAGGTTATTCAGAGGCACACATCTGTCTTTCCACCCCCTCCCCCATCCCTACCCCACCCCCAAGTTACCCCACTCCTTTCTCTTCCTAGAGAGGAGCGACCAAAAACAAAACAAAACAAAAACAAAAACAACAAAAAACCTTACTCAAAGTAAACAATATATATTGATCAGCAGAAAAGGTTGGAGGGAGCTGTTGCCTGGCAGAGGGGATATGAGGTCCCCGCCTGGACCGCTTAAGGCAACTGTGTATCCGCGTTGAGAAGCCTGAATGCGTGTGTGTGTTTTCTTTCTTAATATGTTAGAGTACCCTGTTTAAAAAAAAATAAAAATTGGAGGGAGGGGGAAAAGAAAGAACGAACAACAAAAAAGAGAGACAGAGAGCTAGAGAAATAGCAATTAAAAAGCTGGAGTAAAAGGAAGAGAGTGGAAGAGAAAGAGAAATCCGCGCTGCTCCCAGTGCGGCTGGTTGCTTCCTCTCTTCCTGCAGTCAGAGATCGTGGCAGGACGTGTCTGTTTTCACCGTGTGCGTGTGAGAATAAACCTCATGTGGCTGCTGATCCCCTGGTGGAGTCATTCTTTTCTCTTTCTGTCTTCGATTACAGAACCAGACACGCACCACTTCTTTCTCCAACTGGAGGCTGTCTGCCAGCGAGGAAATCTCCTGCGCGGCAGGCTTGGGACACTTAAGGAAATGCGTCTCCAGTACGCCCTTGACACTCACCTCGATAGAGGTTCGCTTCTTGCGCTTGCGGCCCTGCGCCGCGATCTTGTCAATGCTGGTCGGACTCCCTGTGGACGAATCAGCCTCCTCCAGCCACTTGTTCAGCAGCGGCTTCAGCTTGCACATGTTCTTGAAGCTCAGTTGTAAGGCCTCGAACCTGCAGATGGTGGTCTGAGAGAAGACGTTGCCGTACAGTGTGCCCAGCGCCAGCCCCACGTCAGCCTGCGTGAAGCCCAACTTGATTCTTCTTTGTTTGAACTGTTTGGCGAACTGTTCCAACTCATCCGAGGTTGGTGTCTCCTCGTCCGAGTGGTCCTGGCAGTGGTGCGAACCTAGGTCGCCGTGGTCTGGGGGTTCCCGGAGCACTGGGTGTAAGCTCTGCGTGGAGGCAGAGGCCGGCGGTGGAGTGAGCCCGCCGTGCTCCAGCATGCCGCTCACCGTGAAGCCCGGCTGCGAGTACACGTTAAGGGGTTGGCTGCTCGACGTGATGGACGGATTCGGAGCCGGGCTCGCCCCCCAAGCATTCGGGTGGTTAGTGTGCTGAGAGTGGTGGGCGACGTGCGGAGAGCGGTGATGGATGATTGCGCCCAACTGTAGGTCTTCGCGCCCAGGCTTCACGTCTTGCTGTTCCAGGGGGCTGGTGGCCAGTGTGGAAGACCATGGGCCTCCATCGCTCAGACTGGTCACCCAGTGATGCCCGAGGGGATGCCCATTGCTAGGAACTCCCTGCAAGTAATCACTTTGGAGAAGTTTCTGAGGGTTTCGGAAAGGACTCCCCTGCTGCATGCCCGCAGAGTCTGCATGGACCATAGAACTGGAACTGAGAATGCTGTAGGGATTCGAGGCAGCTGTGGCCATGGTCCGTGAGGATCCCCTACTAGTTATAATGTGGCAAAGGGAGCAGATTCAGCCTTTGACATCTATGGTACAGGGGAGCCAAAGCCGCGAAAGCAAGTTACCGGCACCCGCCGAGGCCAATTGCAGCGCGGCTCGGCCTGGCCTTCCGCGGACTCGGCCAATGGCGGCACGGGAGGCCGGGCTAGCTTTCCAAATTAGGCTGGCGAAGCTCGAGAGTTTCTGTGAGACCCAAGCAGGAAGTGAATCAATCTTTCGGCTCCATTGGCTGCCTAGTGCTGAGTGACAGGAGCTCATTTGGTTAACCCTTCCCCCCACCTCCCACCGCTCTCGGACATCGAGGATGTTAGCAGAGGAGGGGGAAGGATGAGAGGGATGTGCGTTCGTGTGTGTGTGTGTGTGTGTGTGTGTGTGTGTGTGTGTGTGTGTGTGTGTGTGTGTTTGGTGGGGGATAGGGGTGAGGCGGCAAACTGGTTTTAGAACTTTTTAGGTTATTTAGATTAACCTAAATAAAGAAGAATATTAAGAAAACAATATAACCAGTTTCAGTGTCTTATAGATTTTAGCGGATAGGGATTTTCCTCAGATTAATGTGGCGTTCTCGGTTAGTTGTGTGAGGGGGAGTGAAAAACAAAACGCCACTGCAAACTTTGAGCAAAGGAACGTCTTCGATAGGACCCTAAATCTGTGAGACTGAAGCCCATGATTCCAATAAGAGCTATTTCAATGTGTTTAATTTCATTTTATCATTTATAAGAAACTCGATACCAAGGTCAGAAAGCATCTAAGAGAGATGCCCAGATCCTTCTGAAAAGATTGATTTAGGGCATGAAGCACTGGAAAATTCTGAGAAAGTATTGTAAAATCTAATGTGATACTGGAAAAATCCAGTTATTTTGAAGTTTGTCTCCCAATTCAGTTGGTTAATTGGTAGATTTGAGGTTTGTTTTTTTGTTTTTTTACTGCTCCGTGTCAGCTCCCATCAGAGGTCCCACAAATTTTGTCAGGGGCAAGTCTTGCTGAAGTGGGTAACCCTCCTATGCACTCACCCCAAACACTCAGCGAACCCATTCTCAGTAGGTACACAGAATATTCATGACTACCTGCTCCCAGTGATGTCCCCTAGGAAAATTGGTTTTAACACACACTTCTTCAACCCACCACCAATTCCACATAAGTTGAAGAAAATGGGAATCATTTAGTGTGCCATGGAAATTCAGAGAGAGAGAGAGATGACTGGAGGGCTGTTTGGCATTAAGTACCGCCTCCCCCAAACCCAACGCCCCCCTCCCC